GGTTTCAAACGTTTTTTTTTGTGTACGAAGTTAAAACGGCCAATATAGACATGACAAATTCCCCCAGGGTTTTTTTGTAGGGGGCGTTTCCCCCCCGTTTTCTATAATTCTCAATTCTAGGGTTTAACTGAAGGGGCGAAACTATTAAGGAAATGAGGTTCAGCCTACCTTTGGAGGGGAAAGAAAGTTTTTGGGCTTTCCCCAAACCCCACTCCCCGTTTTTTTTTAAAAGGGCTGATAAACCTCTCTTTTCAAGTAAACCCAAATTTGAAATTTTATTAAACCACTTTTTTTCTTCCAAAGTTTAAAATTAAATAACCAAAGGGTTTTATTATTTATACTTCTTAGCTTCATATCAAGTATATATAATGGAAGATTAAAGCTCATTTTAAAGTCTGCGTCACTGAAGCGACAACGTTGTGTAGCTTTAAAAATAGGTTGATAAGTATATGAGTGAGTGGGTCGGGTGAATTTGACCTGCCTGATGGGTCAAAATGTCTGTCAGTTTACCTGGAGAGAGTTCCTGGGGTCAACGCCCCCGCGGCATGGTCTGTGACCAGGCCTCATGGTGGAACAGGGCCTGATCAACCAGGTTGTTACTGCTGGCTGCACGCAATCCAACGTACGAGCTACAGCCCGGCTGGTCAGGTACCGACTTTAGGTGCCTGTCCAGTGCCTGCTTGAAGACAGCCAGGGTTCTATTGGTAATCCCCCTTATATATGCTGGGAGGCAGTTGAACAGTCTTGGGCCCCTGACACTTATTGTGTTGTCTCTTAGCGTGTTAGTGACACCTGGAGTTTACCTGGAGAGAGTTTCGGGGTCAACGCCCCGCGGCCCGGTTCTGTGACCAGGCCTCCTGGTGGATCACCCCTTTGATCAACCAGGCTGTTGCTGCTGGCTCAGCGCAAACCAACGTACGAGCACAGCCCGGCTGATCAGGAACTGACTTTAGGTGGTCTGTCAGTGCCAGCTTGAAGACTGCCAGGGTCTGTTGGTAATCCCCCTTATGTGTGCTGGGAGGCAGTTGAACAGTCTCGGGCCCTGACACTTATTGTATGGTCTCTTACGTGCTAGTGACACCCCTGCTTTTCATTGGGGGGATTGCATCGTCTGCCAAGTCTTTTGCTTTCGGTAGTGAGTGATTTTCGTGTTTCAAGTTCGGTACTAGTCCCTCTAGGATTTTCCAGGTGTATATAATCATGTATCTCTCCCTCCTGCGTTCCAGGGAATACAGGTTTAGAAACCTCAAGCGCTCCCAGTAAATTTAGGTTTTTTAATCTCCGTTATGCCGCGCCGTGAAAGTCTCTGTACATTTTCTAGGTCGGCAATTTCACCTGCCTTGAAAAGGAGCTGTTAGAGTGCAGAATATTCCAGCCTTAGATAGAAAAGTGAAACTGGAAGTGTCATCATGGGCTTGGCCTCCCTAGTTTTTGAAAGGTTCTCATTATCCATCCTGTCATTTTTCTAGCAGATGCGATTGATACAATGTTATGGTCCTTGAAGGTGAGATCCTCCGATGCTTTTCATTGGGGGGATGTTGCATCGTCTGCCGAGTCTTGCTTTCGAGAGAGATTTTCGTGTGCAAGTTTGGTACTAGTCCCCTCTAGGATTTTCTAGGTGAAAACATGATCTCTCCCGCCTGCGTTCCGGGGGAAAACGGTTCGGGAAACTTTGCTATTTTTCCCCTGACAAAATTTTTTACCGTATGGGGATTATTACACTTTTTGAGGGTTTCTTTCACCTGAGAATAATAATCCACATGAATTTCCCTCAAGGAATTTCATAAAATGAAAAAACATGCTTGGGAAATCTTCCTGATTCCTTATAGTGAACCGTCGAAAGGGCCGATCCCATCGGGGGCCCCTTCGCTTGGTCGAGGACTTCGCTGAAATTCCGGGGCTTCAAAAACGCCCTTCCCCATTAGGAGGCTAAGAGAACTTGAGTTTGGTTTGGGGTTGTCCCCATTTTTCCCTTCGACGTCCCCTCTAAAAGGGTTTTTACAGAACGGACCACAACCGGCTGCACACCCCCCTCCTTGTTTTTTTTTTATTATTTTTTTAAAAACTAATCTTTACCTGGATTTTACCGGGAGAGAGTTGGGGGGTAAAAGCCCCGCGGCCCGGTCTGTGCCCGGGCCTCCTGGGATACCCCCGATCAACCAGGCTGTTGCTGCGGGCTGCACGAAAACCCAAACGTACAGCCACAGCCCGGCTGATCAGGAACGACTTTGGGTGCTTGTCCGTGCCACTTGAAGACTCCCAGGGTCTGTTGGAAATCCCCCTTATGTGTGCTGGGGGGCAGTTGAACAGTCTCGGGCCCCTGACACTTATTGTATGGTCTCTTAACGTGCTAGTGACACCCCTGTTTTTTCATTGGGGGATGGTGCATCGTCTGCCAAGTCTTTTGCTTTCGTAGTGAGTGTTTTTTCGTGGGGGCAAGTTCGGTACTAGTCCCTCTAGATTTTCCAGGTGTATATAATCATGTATCTCTCCCCCCTGCGTCCAGGGGAAAACAGGTTTTTGAAACCTCAAGCGCTCCCAGTAATTGAGGTGTTTTATCTCCGTTATGCGCGCCGTGAAAGTTCTCTGTACATTTTCTAGGTCGGCAATTTCACCTGCCTTGAAAGGTGCTGTTAGAGTGCAGCAATATTCCAGCCTAGATAGAACAAGTGACCTGAAGAGTGTCATCATGGGCTTGGCCTCCCTAGTTTTGAAGGTTCTCATTATCCATCCTGTCATTTTTCTAGCAGATGCGATTGATACAAAGGCATAAAATACCTAAAAGTTGATGAAATAGACACAAGGAACATAAGACATGAGAATGTGGGTGCTCGTGGCCTAGTTGGTAGCTTTCTCAGCTCACACTGAGGGTCCGGAGATCGATCCCGGCACGGGTGAAATATTTTATTTATTTATTTATTAATCTGAACATGATACAGTGAAGTACAAAAGAATACAGTTAAATGCAGCATGTCAAAGCCACTTGAATGCATAGCATTACGGGCAGGGTTAAAATTAACTTAAGATTAATAAGCATGATATATTCAGTGGTACAAAAATTATTGTAAAACAGATAACAATTTAGTACAAATGAGTATTGTTAAGCTTCCTTATACCTGCTGCCCTGGTTCACCTAACAATAAGTAGGTACCTGAATGTTACACAACTTGTGGGTCGAAGATTGAGACACTTATGCAACATATGGGAATCTTTATTTCAGGAAACGTTTCGCCCCACAGTGGCTTCATCAGTCCAAAACAAGGCAAAAAGGGGTAAGAGAGGAGAAAGAGGGAATCAGTCCCTCAGCCTGGAGTCGATGTGTTCAGTCCATCAATCTTGTAGAATGTACAGCATAGGGCCGTAGACGTGGCTTGTAGTTAGGTAAGGCGAAGCAGGATGAGGCGGGGTCATAGTGGTACCATCCACTAGTCGAAGTAGGTCTTAGTCCAAAGGTTGGACAAGTGTTGAAGAATACTTTGTAACAAAAATTCCCTATATTATTAAATTATTATTATTATTAATTATTATTTATTATTATTATTATTATTATTATTATTATTATTATTATTACAGTGAAGTGATAGAGCAGCAGTAGATGTGGTTTGCCCACGGCTTACATCACTTTTTTTTTCATAATTATAGAGGTTCTTGTAGGGGCCTTTAACATCTTCAACTATATAATGGGGTTTAACTGATGCAGGTTATTCTAACTTGGCGTGATAGTATTTGTATATTTTGTTAATGTTGCAGAAGTTGATTTTAGATAAATGGTTCAGAGAACCGACAAGTTGATAAATTAGACATGTGCAACACTTGGGTATCTTTCTTGAGGAAACGTTTCGCCACACAGTGGCTTCATCAGTCCAATACAAAGAAGAATGACGAAGAACAGAAGGAGTTTGAAGTAATCAGTCCCTCGGCCTCGAATCGATGTAATCAGTCCATCATATAGGCCACTTCTTCGCGCATGCACTGTGTTCTTTTCAAGATTGATGGACTGATTACATCGACTCAAGGCTGAGGGACTGATTACCTTAAACTCCTTCTGTACTTCACCATTCTTCTTTGTATTGGACTGATGAAGCCACTGTGTGGCGAAACGTTTTCTCAGTAAGGATACTCAAGTGTTGCAATTATGTAGTGGAGGCAGGAACCATACATAGTTTTGAGACTAGGTATGATAAAGCTCATGGAGTAGGGAGAGAGAGGACCTAGTAGCGATCAGTGAAGAGGCGGGGCCACGAGCTATGTCTTGACCCCTGCAACCACAAATAGGTGAGTACATGTGTAATTTATCAAGTTGATTTTTATTTTGTTACTCAAATTTTGATTTGTATTTTTTTTTTTTTTTGCCACCTCTTCTGTTTTGAGTGAATTTGTGAGTTTCCAATTTCAGCTGCCATAGATTTCATTTGTATAATTTGACAATTCGACTTTCATTAATTATTTCCCCAAAAGCTTGGTTTTGATTAATAAGCAAGGTGAGCCATATGAGCAACTCAGCTGTTCACCTTGCAGTAAATGTATATAGGATTTGGTTGGTGGTAGTACACCTCAGCTAGGGCATGACTGTACAGTGAGAGTAGAATAACAGCACTTAGCTAATAAATTGAAGTGTAAAAACCATCATGAATCTACAGTGCTTGACATGTAGCTGGTGTCAGATACTTGGTCTGATTCTCGTAACCAATTATATAATACAGTACAGTGCATACTTTTGTTCTTAGTCCATATTCTGTCATCTTCACAAACTACAAACTTTTAGAAGCATAGAGCTAGCTTGGGAGTAAATAGAATTTGATTATAATCCTGTAGTTGTCTAAAGCTCCTTTTAGTAAAATAAAAAATGATTTGGCATTCTATAAACAGAAATATGACTATCCTTTTGTACAACTTTGCTTTGTACCCTAAAATGAACTATGCAGAGCAAATAAGATGACCAATTATCTTTCAGAAATAGGTCTGTGATAAATATTACATTTCCATCTTATTTCTTCCAGGAAAATCGTCCCATTCCGGAGCCAGGTCCAGATGGTAAGATTCCATTCAATTGTCTCTATGATTATATTGAGATGCTTCAAACTGATTAATAAAATAGAAATAGGTATGTCAGGGGTGGCTCTAGAATTTATATATACAGTGGAACCCTAGTTTTTGTCTGGTCCGGTTATCTTACAATGCAGTTTTCGACCACTTTTTTTGGCGAAATTTTCCCCATTTTCATATATCCACTCGGAAATCGTTAGTATCAGACGTGTCCACCTGCCTGCGGGACGTGGCCGCTCATACGTTCATGACCCAATCTGCCTTTGTTACTCGTTCAGTGAGCATGGTAGGGTGGTAGTGATGGTGGTAGAGATAACCTCTTCTCCCTCATCCCTCCTTGCCATCTTCCATATGCCAACAAGAGTCTTCAATGAAGGTAAAAGTTTTTTAAATGTTCATTTATCCATTTCATTAGTGCTTTATATTTTTTCTCATTGTTTTCTGTATGTAAAACTATAGTTATTCTCTATAAAGTGTATTTTTTTGTTAATATTTTGGGTGTGTGGAACAGATTAATTGGATTTACATCATTTCTTATGGGAAATATTACTTCAGTTTTTGTACAAATAGGTTTTCGGCCAACCTTCTGGAACAGATTAAAGACAAAGACCAGGGTTCCAGTGTACGTGTATGACTTGAGAGGTGGTAATCTGGTTAAAATGAAGGGAGTGGGAGGGGGGTACTCGAGGACGTACTTTTTTTAGAGAGGGGCTGATGGATATTATGAGTAGCTCTAGTTCTTTGATTCATGATCACTATCCCCCCTCCTATTCTCTCCCATTGAGGGCTGGTAACAAGTAATATGCTTTCCCATGTTCTTTTATGCATTACTGTATCAACTAGATTTGCGCAATCACATGCACCAGTTCAGCAGTCCATGTCTACTTGTATCCTCCCTCATATTCATTCATCATAGTTTTTCATTTCAAATGTTGACAGTAAAGTTGGTTTTAACTTGTGGTGTAGTCAAATTACTTTGGAGAACTTATTTTCTCACTTTGTCTTTTCAGAGGTGCTCCTGAAAATGGCTAAAGTTGGCATTTGTGGATCAGATGTTGCCTACTGGACTAAAGGAGCTATTGGCCATTTTGTTGTAAAAGAGCCAATGGTACTCGGTCACGAGTCTGCTGGTGTGGTGACAAAGTGTGGCAAGAATGTCACCAGTCTAGTGCCAGGTAGGCTTCTTACTAAGTAATTGTATGCATCCATATTATCACCATTCTTCAGCATAATTACTGTAATGTCATAATTCATTACTGTGCTTGTTCGAAACTACAGCTGTTACCTTTAGATTATATACTATATTTATTTTCAATTATTTCCATTTTTTATTATATGTTGTTATTTCCTTTGCCTACTCATCCACACGAGTTAGTCTGCAACCTCTTTACTCATAATGATAATGTTTATTTCAGCATGATACAATGGTTGTACAAAGGAGAATGACATTTGGGTGTACACGCCGAAAGCCCCTATATATGCAGAGCATTTCGGGCAAACTTAAGACTAACTTAAGATTAATAAGGCAATAAAAATAAAGTGTAAATTTAGGAGTTTATAATGAACATGAGAGAACTGAATATTCTATTAGTTCATGCTATATGGCTTTAACAAGTTTAATTGAGAAGAATTACAGGTACAGTTTTTACATATTTAGCTGATGCTAGGATATGTTAGGAAGATAGGCAATTTTCAATGGTAGTTTTGGAAATGCTGGCTGAATCAGTGATTCTGGAGATTTCTGGCAGAGACTACCAGATTTTGGACCCTTTTATATACAAATACCATCCGACTTACGACCAAGCTTGGTTCCGACCAACCGGTTGTAAGTCAAAATGGACGCAAGTCGAACCTTATGTTTTTAGTACGTACTCTATTTTATACTGTAAGGTTTAGGAGAAACACTGTGTACAACACAAACTGTTATGTATTTGCATACAAAACATTCGTATGCATGAAAACGTACGAAAACAATGGAAATAAGTCACTTTGACTTTTTTGGGTTATCCTAGGTTCTCTACACATATGCTGCTATGTATGATAATCCATGTAACTGTATGTATTTGTGTATACCTGAATAAACTTATTTACTTATGCATGAACAGAAAAGTACAAAATAACTTAAGCTAAGCCGTAAACAGTACGGTTGTCAGTATGAGTGATCGTATGTCGAGCAGGTCATAAGTTGGATGGTACTTGTACATTGAATTTTTGAAGAGATTTAGCCGGACACGGGGAATGTCAGAGATTTTTGTGGTTAGGATTATGTCTGTGGGTCCTGTTGCAACTATCAAGAAAGTGCTTCAGGTCGGAATTTATATAAGAATTTATTGTTCTGTAAATGTAGGGTGCACAGTGGTATGAGTGAATGTTTTATATAGTGAGTAGGTTTAGGTCTTTGAAGAGTTGGTGGGGGAGTTGTCTAGCAGTTGACTGTGTGATTATTCGCACTGCAGCTTTTTGGAGTTATTATTGACTTAGATGAGTTGCTGTTGTGGATCCCCAGACACAAATAGCATAGGTGAGGTAGAGGTAGATCAGTGAATAGTATAGTGTAAGTAGTGCTGTTTGTGGTACATAATGTATCTGAGAGGATGCCAACTGTTTTGGATGCTTTTTTTTGTGTGTTGGATATGGGTGTTGAATTTCAAGTTTCTGTCAAGATGCAGATCCAGAAATTTTACCTCATTGTGTGTAACAATAAAGGTATTGTGATGTATAATGTTTAGTTGGATCTCACTTTCTCTGCTCCCACACATAATATAGAAAAGGTTTTGTCAATATTAAGTAAGTTTATTAGCGGTCATCCGGGTTGATATTTTTATGAACTGAAATAAACTATTACTGTTACTGTTACCATAAGGAGACTTGTCCCCTGCAAACATCCCACTCTGCTCAGAATTTGAATCCATGACCAGTTTTATTGTGATACAAAATAACTAGTGGTAGTAGTCTACCAAAAGCCTGCTGTTAGGATTACTATATGTATAGAAGGAGCACTAAACTTGTAAGGGTCGTATAGTTCTTGAGAAATGGGAAGGGAGTGCAGCTTCCTCAATATAAAAGCACAAGGGTTCAATAAAAAATTAACTACTTGCCCCCTTTTCAAAAAAGGACTGATTTTAACTATGTGAATGTAATTGGTTCACAAGAAGCACCAACAGCAAATCAAAATGCTAGCATGGTTTACCTCAATACTCTTACACTAGTGTTTATCTTGACTTGTGTAGGTTAAGATTCACATAATGTCTCCTTATTTAACCACAGCAGTTTTCAAACATATTCTACATATAATTTCATGGGTTTCAGGTGATCGTGTTGCTATTGAACCCGGAGTTCCATGTCGTTTGTGTGATTTCTGCAAGAAGGGCAGATACAACCTGTGTCCAGATGTTTACTTCTGTGCAACACCACCCGACAATGGAAACCTCTGCCAGTACTACACACATGCTGCAGATTTTTGTTTTAAGTAATTACTCACCTTTGTGTTTAGAATTACATGCGATTATAGCTCGCAATTTCAATGTGTGATTTAATTTTAGTTTTTCGTTTATGATAGAAGCATGCCCATTTCCATTAAAGCATGTGGGAGTGGAATTAATTTCCATTGGTAGCACATGTTTCTGTTAAAGAGTGCCATGGCAGGCAGGCAGGAGACTTATCACTGTGCATTGGGCAGCTCAATTGTTTTAGCAGTGCAGGGACCGATGTGAGGGAAGGTGAACTGATGTAAATAAACAGCCTCCCATGTGGGTCATTGTATATCACTGCTCAGTTTTCCTTCTTTTCAATACCCCATATTGTCTCTGAATATTTATCATGATCTGTAAAAACTTGGATTTGTGGTCACAATGGGACCCATGCAAACTTTCCCATGGTGTATAGAAATATACCTAGCTGGATGAATCTTATTTGTGGCCAGCTGGCCCCAAGTGACATGCATTGGCTTGAAATTTTATGACTCGCTTGACATATTTTAAAAAAAAAAAAATAGTCGAAATGCTGAAGAGTGGTGCATGGTCATGGAGATGGAATGAGAGATAAGATAAGATAAGATTTTGTTCGGATTTTTAACCCCGGAGGGTTAGCCACCCAGGATAACCCAAGTCAGTGCGTCATTGAGGACCGTCTAACTTATTTCCATTGGGGTCCTTAATCTTGTCCCCCAGGATGCGACCCACACCAGTCGACTAACACCCAGTACCTATTTGCTGCTAGGTGAACAGGACAACAGGTGTAAGGAAACATGTCGAAATGTTTCCACCCGCCGGGAATCGAACCCGGGCCCTCCGTGTGTGAAGCGGGAGCTTTAGCCGTGAGTGTTTGATGTTAGAATCAAGGAGTCATCAACTCAAGACAATGAGATGAAGATAAATTCAAAGTTTATTCTCTATAAAGATTACAATGCTGAATTTACAGAATTTGGTTGTTGTGTGGTTTACATGTAGTTTAAATAATGATTACAGAGTGTACCACTAGAACGCCTAGCATGGCTAGGCATTTCGGGCAGACTTAGTTTAATTCTTTATTTTAAAATATTACAAATTATGAGGTAAGTTGGTATTATGGCAAAGTGACTAAATACTAGTTTGTGAGTTTACCAATGTGAATGCTTTTGTTTTGGCACAGTACATAGTTTCAGTATTGGAGTTTTCATAGGAAATTTATTATTTTAAGATTGAGATTAATATTTCTGTTTATGGTCAAAAAGGGTGAGGAGTGTAAGTGTGAACCCCCAGGTGGTATTCGTGTAGGGTTTTTGATGGGTTTTATCAGGGAGATAAGATGTTTTCTAATGGTAGTTTTGAAGGTGATGAATGTGTCTGCATTTCTAGAGTTCTCAGGTAGGGTGTTCCAGATTTTAGGGCCTTTGACATACATTTAATTTTTGTAAAGGTTTAGTCGGACATGGGGAATGTCGTAGAGATGTTTGTGTCTGGTGTTATGCCTGTGGGTTCTGTCACAACTATCAAGAAGTTTTAGGTCAAGGTTGATATTGGAGTTTAAGGTCCTGTAGATGTAGATTGCACAGTAGTAAGTGTGGATGTACTGAACAGGGAGTAAGTTTAGATCTATGAAAGTGGGGGGGGTGTGTTGCCAGGGATGGGAATTAGTGATTATTCTTACGCAGCTTTTTTGTTGGGTTATTATTGGCTTTAGGGGTGTTGCTGCAGTTGATCCCCACAACAAATAGCATAGGTGAGGTATGGATTTAAAAAAAATGAGTGGTATAGTGTGAGAAGGGCATTTTGCGGCACGTAGTACGTAGTATGATCTTTGGAGAGGATCCCAACTGTTTTGGATACTTTTTTTGGGTTTTGTGTTGGAATATGGGTGCTGAAATTCAGGTTGTTGTCAAGGTAAGGCCTAGGAATTTGGGCCCCCATTATGTCTGGTAATTAGAGTGTTTTTCGATCTTAATGTTAATTTGTGCATCTCCTGCTCTGCTACCAAACATAATATGTAGGTTTTGTCAGTGTTAAGCGTAAGTTTATTGGCTGTCATCCAAGTTGATATTTTGATCACTCCTCGTTAACAATGGTGTTGAGGGTGGCAAGATTAGGGTGAGAGATGACATAAGTCGTGTCGTCAGCAAAGAGAATGGGTTTCAGGTGTTGGGATATGTTTGGAAGATCATTGATGTATATGAGGAAGAGCAGGGGGCCAAGGACACTTCCCTGCGGAACTCCAGTATCAAGTGGCCGGTTGTTGTGCTGTGTCTTTAAAAGGTAAAAATTTAACCCATTAGTAAAGGAAGATTGAAATAAGCAAGCGATGGTTTAAAAGTAATGGTCAAATTTGGTGGGGTAGGATTTGGTCTACTGTGTCAAAAACTTTTTTTTAGGGCAGTAAAAAAATTCCTAGTGGATATTCCTTATTTCCATGCTGTTAAAGCAGATCTAGCAATTTTTTATGATTGCATCATTAAGTGCTTTTTATTTTTTTCCTAAATCCAAAATTGGCAGGGGTTGAAGTAATGTTTTTGTGCTGTTTTATAATTGAAATATAGTCCCTCCTGTGCACAGTTTCTCAAAGATTTGGTAGCAATGGTAAAGTTTTGATTATGGCCTATAGTTGTTAAAAGTCTGTAGGTCACCACCCTTTAAGTATTGTGTAACCCTTTGCCATCTTGATTTTTCGGACGGTGCAAGATTCCTAGTGACTTTGTTTAAAAATAATAAAATAGCATGCCCGCTCGCTTGTACAGTAATGGTTGGGACATTTAGACCAGAATGCCCTGAATTTGTTTTTTAAGTGACTTTGATAATCTCGGTGAACCATCCGAGGGCCTCAGTTGGTGCAAAGATAGAAGGATTTGGGAAATTCTCCATCTAGGTAGGTCCCGGCAAGGCATTATATGTGGTATTTTTATTGGCCGAAGATAATCCTATTGTTGAAAGAAGTCTTTATCTTTTGTTAGCTGTTGTCAGTGGGATGTAGTGGTGTTTCATTAGTTTTAGTTAGACAATATTCTTTTTTTTTTTTCAGATTTGGGTCCCTAGAATCTGAGAGAGTTTTCCAGGTCTTTTTTATATCTCCTCTAGAGTGTCCTGTGAAATCTTACTGGAGTAGTATAGTTTTGTTTGGCTTTTCTTTATTACATTGGTTGAGACCTGATAAATAGTGTTTTAAGAATATCTTTTGTTAATTAAGCCCTGTCTATATTTGCTTTTCATATTGGTGTTTTCTTGTCAAATGGATTTCAGAATGGTGCTGGTTAGCCATGGGCAACCAGAGCCGTTTGTTCGTGATCTGTTTTTCGTTTTTTATATGACAAGTGTTGTTGTATAGTATAAGTTAATTTTGTTTAATAAAAATGTCTGTCCAGTCATCAATACCATTTGCCTTGGAGAATTCTAGTAGTGCCATCAACAATCTCCTAGGTCAGTTGTGAACTTCCCTTATTGAGGCCTCGTCATGGAGTCTAAAGAAACATTGTTTGTATTCAAGTGGTGGTTTATTATGTTATGTCCAGGAGGAAGGTAGGGTAATGGACTGTAGTGCTATCTGTGGATTATCCCCTGATTTTAAGGGGGGCTATAATATTGGTCCATATGTGGTCTCTAATACAGAAATAACCCCACATAAAAGACAGAAGCTTACGACACGTTTATCGGTCCACTTGGACCATTGACAAAGTCACACTAACAGAGGAGGAAGCAGGACGGCTATATATAGCAGGAAAGGTGGAGGTAGTATAGTGGTAGTAGTAGTAGCAAGAATTATCTAGTACTACTACTAACCACAACTACTACCCCACCTCTTTCCTGCCTATATAAGCCGTCCTGCTCCTCCTCGTTAGTGTGACCTTTTGTCAATGTCCAAGTGCCGGACCGAAACGTCGTCGTAAGCTTCCTGTCTTTTTTATGTGCGGGTTTTTATTTGTGTATCCTTCCAGTCACGTATTGTGCCTTTTTTGTTTATTTGTGGTCTCTTATGGTTGCACTTTGTCTCAGTGAGCCTGTTGTTTTAGTTTTATTGTTGGTATAGAAGTTGTTGTTTCATATTTGTTTTGATGAAATCAGTTTACAGGCTGATCATCTAGTAAGCAAGGTTGATGTTGAAGTCTCCAGCTAAGAAAAGGTGTTGCTTTATTCATTTGTCTGTTTGTTATTAGTGACCTTTTAATTTCTCACTGAAATTAGGGATGTTTGTGTGAGTTATCCATAAATGCACCGATTGTTATAGGTGTTCTTAAGGTTTCTTTTAAACAGTAAAATTAGCAAAAATGTATTCCCCATATTCATCACTAAAGCAAGTGGTGCTAATACAAGATAATTGATTAGAGTAATAGATTGCAATACCACCCCCAACTTGGTTTGGTCTGCAGTTGTGAATTGCTGTGTATCCTGGGTAGAGGGTAGATATCTATTGGTCCTGCTTTAACAGGTCTCAAGTAAGAATAATGCCAGAAAGGGTGTCTTATAGTGATTCAAGGAGTGCCAGGAGGTCATCATAGTGTTTGCTTAAGGACCTGATGTTGTAGTTAAGTACAGCTTGTGCAATGAGTAATCTTTTGTAACCTATGTGACAAAGTGAAAAAAAGGAGGAATAGATCATTATAGCTAAATGAAACAGCAGTTTACTAAATGAATTGAGTGAAAAGCAAAGAAAGGTGTTTCCACTTGATGCATTTAATGTATTATTTAAAAAAAACCTCATCATAATATACAACAGCGTGTGAGGAGGAAGGACAGCCCAAAAACAAGTGCACATTTAGCGCTGGTTGGCTTAATCAGTTTAGAATGTGCAGTGGTCTGTATAAAGAACTGAAAGATAAAACAAACCAGTGGCATTTGATAGTACATACAGTAATTAACTGATGAAGCTGTATCAGCATCACAGGCTCCAACCTTCATCATCACATCCACTCCAGTCATCATTCTTAACCAAGTAGGGCCACAATCACCTTCTCCACTCGCTTCATAATGTTAAGCATTGCCAACATTGCTGAAAACTGTTCTACCAATGATTTTTGTGATTTATGGACCAAAAACACAGGGGGAAAATAGGGTTGCATTCCTAAGACTTCCAGAGAGCTATAAGAAAAATTAACTTCATAATGCTTTAAAAAATACTGTAATAGTTTCTGAACTTTGATGAGCTTCAGATTGTGAAAATGAAGAGCACATGTATCTAAAAATGGTTATTTTATTGCTGTAGAATATTTTTTACTTGCCTTCCAGTTGGGTTGGTGATACTTGACCCTTAAACTATCCAAACATAGATCTTCGTTTTTTCAACATTTGAAAGTATGTAAAAAAGTAGATATTTTCTTTTTTTACATTTGAAAATGTGTAAAAAAAACTTTGATCTTTGTTTTTTTTTTTTTGTTATATTTGAAAATAAGTAAAAAAAAAGGAAAACTACTTTTGCAGCACTACGCATATGAGCATAGATCTGCTTGGACAGTTTAAGGATTAACATCCAGAAGTGAATAGAGAGAAGAAAACTACTAGCCCCTACAGGACCCCACTGCACATGTGGTAATAGATCAGTTGAACCTCCTTACACATACAGGGAGAACAAAGCTTGTGAAACCATATTGAAGGATAGACGGCAGGAAAAATAATTCCTTGTAGAAACCATTTTCATGTCAGTAATGAAACTCATTTGGAGACCCTGGTTTATGAAGCTTCAGGAAAGTAAACATACAGAAAAAAAAAAATAATATGAAAAATTATGAAAATTTTCTCTTATGAAAAATAGGTGCATAAAATCTGGCCACTTGTTTAATACCATGTTTCCAAGTGGCTTTTTGTTTTTTTTTTTCAAGAATGTAATTTTTTTATTGTTGCTGGTCATCAAGAGTGAACATTGTGCCATATTGTCTTTTTTTTTTTTTCCTCCAAAAATTATGAGTTGGTGTTATGAGTTTTTTTTTCTGAAAAAAAACAATATGAAAACTTTATTCTGACGAAGGATTATAAATGTTCAGATGTTGGCACTCTGTTGCCTTTGCCACTACTATGAGGAAGGATGTTGCAGCTCCCATACTTTGTGGCAGGAGAAGTCTGTGTTTCATATAAAAAATGATATTTCTATTGTTCTTAGGAATAAAAAAAAAAAAAAAAAAAAAAAAAAAAAAAAAAAAAAAAAAAAAAAAAAAAAAAAAAAAAAAAAAAAAAAAAAAAAAAAAAAAAAAAAAAAAAAAAAAAAAATAAGTTTATCTCCTTTTCGATAATCCATAATGCATTTATTTGTTGACAGAATGTCATGATTTTTGCACACATTGAGTAATGATGGTTTTACACCATAGCTATGGTGTTAAGGCCTTTACCATTTTTGTGTATTGATTTTATTTTTTCCCAAAATAACACTAGAAAAATGAAAAAACAAACTTAACAAAAAAATTTTTTTTTTTTTTTTTAAACGACAAGATAATGATATGTTCGTGAAACCCAGTTACTACACAGTTATTTGGCCCTTTATCTTTCAAGTGTTCTTTTTGATTATAATAATAATAATATATTTCATGTGAGATCAACTAGAATATTGTCTATCAGCCAAGTTTTGCATTAGGAGTATTGAAGTGACACCCCCATAAAACAGCCAATAATTATTTTTTTCTCTTTATATTTTAAGGCAATCTTCATAATAACTACAGTGTGCAAGTTTCAAAAGCTATTTAAATCACAGTAAAAATTTCACTAAAATTGGATAATTAGATAAAAAAAATCTATTTCTGCCTCCCCCCTCCTTCAGGCTTCCTGAATACTTTATTATTAAGCCTTAGTTACTTATGGAGCATTATAAATATTTTTTTCATTTGCCTTATGTATTCTACACCACTTGTAATTTGAATTATCCTTTAATGGCTTGCAAATTCTAATTATATAAAAAAACAAGAAGCTAAATACTACTTTGGATAATAAAACACTTTATTTTTCTTTTGAAATGGATAACATTATGTTTAAGTATACAAACTGACACAAGAAACTTGAAATATGTACATAATAAGGAATACCCTGTATGATATGATAAATGAAAGTGAATAACCATTTCCACAAGACGCTCAACAATGTAGTATTACTAAAACCAGTCTGTATGTTACCATAAAAGAGAGGAATCCAGTAATACATTGCATCTAACATTCTTTCCACAGAATGCCAGAATGATGTGATTTATCAGAGGAGGAGCCCACATGGAACCATTAAGGATGGATGTTCATGCTTGTGAAGTGCAGGAGTCACTCTTGTCATCCGTCTTAATTTGTGGTGCAGGACCAATTGGACTCGTTAATTTACTTGTAGCTAAAGCTATGGGAGCCACTAAGGTGTGCATCACAGGTAAGGAACTCTTTTTGTTGATTAAAACTAGTGAATATAGTCACCTCAAGAGATATGCCTTTGTTGATGAGGGGCTCTTGAGTCCAAGGAACAGGAGTTTGCCCTTCCTTTCTTGGAAATTGAACCTGATTACCTCCTTCCCCCAAGCACATAATAGAATCAATGGGCTTAGCACTTACCACTGATTTAAAATAAAAGAAGTAAATAAAGCAGACTGGGAAGTTGAAGTTCATATAGCCTCAGTCATGAAAGCTTTACCATGGGTATGTAGAGGGGATAGGCTACCTTGTTTTGTGATTTCAGTTTGGGTACCCTTATACTGCTGCCCACTTAGTGATTTCCTACATTTTTTCCTTATATTTTCCCAATTATAAATTTTTTGCTACCTCTCTGTTTTTTTTGTTTTTTTTTTTTCTCTCAACAAGTCGGTCGTCTCCCACCGAGGCAGGGTGACCCAAAAAAAGAAAGAAAAAATCCCCAAAAAGAAAATACTTTCATCATCATTCAACAACCCCACTTTTCACCACAACTCACACATTATCACTTGCTTTTGCAGAGGTGCTCAAAATATCAATTTAGAAGCACTATACGTATAGAATACACAACATATCCCTACCAAACTGCCAATATCCCAAACCCCTCCCTTTAAAGAGCAGGCATTGTACTTCCCATTTCCGGACTCAAGTCCGACTATATGAAAATAACCGTTTCCCTAATCCCTTTCACTAAATAATACCCCTGCTCACACTCCCAACAGATCGTCAGGTCCCAAGTATCATTCGCCTCCATTCACTCCTATCTAACACGCTCATGCACGCTTGCTGGAAGTCCAAGCCCCTCACCCACAAAACCTCCTTTCCCCCCTTTTTCCCAAACCCCTTTTTGGGAGGACGCCCCCTACCTCTCTTTCCTTCCCCTATAGATTTATATGCTTCCATGTCATTCTACTTTGATCCATTCTCTCTAAATGACCAAACCACCTCAACAACCCCTCTTCTGCCCTCTGACTAATGCTTTTATTAACTCCACACCTTCTTCTAATTTCCAAAATTCCAAATTTTTTCTGCATAATATTTACACCACACATTGCCCTTAGACAGACATCTCCACTGCCTCCAACCGTCTCCTCGCTGCTGCATTTTACCACCCAAGCTTCACATCCATATAAGGAGTTTTGGTACTACTATACTTTCATACATTCCCTTCTTTGCCTCCATAGATAACGTTTTTTTTGACTCCACATATACCTCAACGCACCACTCACCTTTTTTTCCCTCATCAATTCTAGATTAACCTCATCCTTCATAAATCCATCCGCCGACACGTCAACCCCAAGTATCTGAAAACATTCACTCTTCCATACCCCCTCCTCCCCAATTTGATATCCAATTTTCTTTATCAAAATCATTTGATACCCTCATCACCTTACTTTTTTTCTATGTTCACTTTCAACTTTCTACCTTTACACACATTCTCAAACTCATCCACAAACCCTTTTTGGCAATTTTTCTTTAGAATCCCCCATAAGCACAGTATCATCAGCAAAAAGTAACTGTGTCAATTCCCATTTTGAATTTGATTCCCCATAATTTAATCCCACCCCTCTCCCGAACACCCTAGCATTTACTTCTTTTACAACCCCATCTATAAATATATTAAACAACCATGGTGACATTACACATCCCTGTCTAAGACCTACTTTTACTGGGAAGTATTCTCCCTCTCTTCTACACACCCTAACCTGAGCCTCACTATCCTCATAAAAGCTCTTTACAGCATTTAGTAACTTACCACCTATTCCATATACTTGCAACATCTGCCACATCTACTCTCTGTATTAATGTATAATTAGAATTTACCATAACCTATGTCTAGTTTTAAGTAGTCTATAAGTATTAGGACTATTCTGCCCAAAATGCTCATGCATGCTAGTGACTTTCTTTGTGCTGAACAATATTTTACCACATGTAAACTGCACATTGTGTACTGTGCAAAGAAATAAATTTTTGAAATTGAATTGGCTTCCTTGTAATAAATTAAGAATGCATCTTTTATCAGCTTCAGTCTTTCAACACTGGTATATCTGGAAGAAGGGTTTGGATTTTTGTTGGGCTATAGGATGAAAATTTGACAACTTTATTAAGATTAGGAGTATGACACTTACCCTTTTGAAATGCCAAAGGAATTCTGAACCTCATAATTTTACACTATTATTTTTTATGCAAATTCTCTTTAGACATTTAGAAGTTCTTCTTTTTGTACCATACAATTTCAGGAGCTAGGCTGAATGAAAGTGTTTTTACTGGACCTCTTGAGGATGTTGATTTTCAGCTCTGGACCTCTTTAAGTGGATTGGCTTATAGGTCTCCAGTCTTTAAGCTGAGGTACAGCTATTAGACCTCTTACAAATACAACAAAAACAAATTTTTATTTCCTTGCAAGTTTACATTATATAATTACAGTAATGAGTTGCAGTAGCAAGGTAGTAGGTTGGTAGGCAGCAGCCACCCAGGGAGGTACTACCATCCTGCCAAGTGAATGTAAAATGAAAGCCTGTAATTGTTTTACATGATGGTAGGATTGCTGGTATTTTTTCTGTCTCATAAACATGCAAGGTTTCAGGTACGTCTTGCTACTTCTGCTTACACTTAAGTCACACTACACATATATGTTTTTTTTTTTCAACAAGTTGGCCGTCTCCCACTGAGGCAGGGTGACCCAAAAAAGAAAGAAAATCCCCAAAAAGAAAATACTTTCATCATCATTCAACACTTTCACCACACTCACACATTATCACTGTTTTTGCAGAGGTGCTCAGAATACAACAGTTTAGAAGCATATACGAATAAAGATACACAACATATCCCTCCAAACTGCCAATATCCCAAACCCCTCCTTTAAAGTGCAGGCATTATACTTCCCATTTCCAGGACTCAAGTCTGACTATATGAAAATAACCGGTTTCCCTGAATTTTTTTTTTTTTTTTTCAACAAGTCGGTCGTCTCCCACCGAGGCAGGGTGACGCAAAAAAAGAAAGAAAATCCCCAAAAAGAAAATACTTTCATCATCATTCAACACTTTCACCACACTCACACATTATCACTGCTTTTGCAGAGGTGCTCAGAATATAACAGTTTAGAAGCATATACGTATAGAGATACACAACATATCCCTCCAAACTGCCAATATCTCAAACCCCTCCTTTAAAGTGCAGGGATTGTAAATTCCCATTTCCAGGACTCAAGTCCGACTATATGAAAATAACCGTTTCCCTGAATCCCTTCACTAAATATTACCCTGCTCACACTCCAACAGATCTCGGTCCCAAGTATCATTCGTCCCATTCACTCCCATCTATTTTAAATTTTTTCCATTTTTTTTTTAAAAATGTTGTTTTTTTTTTTGCCCTCATCCACACGAGTTATCTGCAACCTCTTTACTCAAATGATAATGTTTTTTTTCACATGATACAATGGTTTTACAAAGGGAATGACTTTTGGGTGTACACCGAAAGCCCCTATAAATTGCAGAGCATTTCGGGCAAACTTAAGACTAACTAAGATTAATAAGGCAATAAAAATAAAGTTAAATTTGGGAGTTTATAAGAACATGGAAACTGAAATTCTTTTTTAGTTCATGCATAGGCTTTAACAATTTAATTGAAAGAATTACGGGTACAGTTTTTACATATTTATGATCAAGGTATGTTAGGAAGATGGGCAATTTTAAAGGGTAGTTTTGGAAATGCTGGCTGAATCATGATTCTGGAGATTTCTGGCAGAGACACCGATTTTGGCCCTTTATATACAAATACCATCCCTTAGACCCAAGCTTGGGTTCCGACCAACCTTTGGTAATAAAAATGGACGCAAGTCGAACCTTATTTTTTTTTATACTTTCCCTATTTATACTGTAAGGGTTTTGGGAAAAACACTTGACAACACAAACTGTTATGTATTTGCTAAAAAACATTCGTACATGAAAACGACAAAACAAGGGAAATAATCACTTTGACTTTTTTGGGTTATCCTGGTTCCTACCAATCGCTATTTTAATCCATGTAACTGTTTTTAAATTGTGTATACCGAATAAACTTTTTATTTATCAAAACGAAAAAGCAAAAAAACTAAGCAACCCAAACAGAAGGTTGTCATATGAGTGATCGTAGTCACAGGTCATAATTGGAGGTACTTGTACATTGAATTTTTGAAGAGATTTAGCCGACAGGGGGAATGTCAGAGATTTTTTGGGGTTTAGATTATGTTTTGGGGGTCCTTTTAACTATCAAAAAGTTTTCAGGTCAAAATTTTTATATAAGATTTTATTTTCTGTAAATTAGGGTGCACAGTGGTATGATGAATGTTTTATATAGTGGTAGGTTTGGGTCTTTAAAGATTGGGGGGGAGTTTTTCTAGCATTGACTGTGTGATTATTCGCACTGCAGCTTTTTGATTATTATTGACTTAGATGAGTTGCTGTTGTGGATCCCCAACAAAAATAGCAAGGTGGGTGAGGTAATCGGAAATAGAATTAAGTATCTGTTTGGGGTACATAATGTATCTGAGGGGATGCCAATTTTTTTGGATGCTTTTTTTTTTTTTAAAGTTTTGATATGGGTTTTAAATTTTTAAAGTTTCTGCCCCAAAAAGCAGACCAAAATTTTACCTCATTGTGTGTAACAAAAAGGATTTGATTTAAAAATGTTTTAGTTGGATCTCACTTTTCTCTGCTCCCACACTAAAAAAAAAAAAGGTTTTGTCAATAAAAATAATTTTTATTAGCGGCATCCGGTTGATATTTTTATAAACTGAAATAAACTATTACTGTTACTGTTCCATAAGGAAAAACTTGTCCCCTGCAAACATCCCACTCTGCTCAAAATTTTGAACCATGACCTTTTTTTATTGTGAACAAAATAACTGGTGTATCTACCAAAACCTGTGTTAGGATTACTTAGTAAGAAGGAGCACTAAACTTGTAAGGGTCGTATAGTTTCAGA